AGCACTCATCAGACTGTACGCGGAATTGTTTCCACTTCACGCCTGTTTTCTGTGTGGTCGTGGTATTGGTGGGGCGAGCCCTACAGTGCGAACATGTTAAAGCGGGCTCTACCACTGGTAAATTTTAATTTATTATCTGTGAAATAACTGAGAAAATTCATTATTATCTGCAAAAACGCTACATTTCCGCGACTTGTGCGTGGAGTTTAAAAAAATACTTAATTCGTAGCCAATTTGTATTTCTAGAATAAAACTATATTTTACATTTATGACAAACATCCATTCATACCATTAAAAGTCAAATCTTTGTAATATTATAAACTAGTTTTCGCCCGCGACTCCGTCCGTGTGGAATTAAAAAAACCTACATGTTTTAGACTATCCTCTACGTCTATACAAAATTTTAATGAAATCCGTTCAGCCGTTTAGGCTACAAACTCTAACAAACATCCATCCATCTAAACTTTCGCATTTATAATATTAGTATGATGCAAAAATTTAGATCGATGGATGGATGTTTGTTAGTTTGTAACCTAAACTACTGAACAGATCTCGATAAAATTTGGCATCTAGAGAATAGTCTGGAAGTATAGGCTATTTACTTATGTTTTTTTTTAATTCCACGCACGACATCGCGAGCAAAGCTAATATCACAGATTACTAAAAAAGTAAATTATGACGTCACAAAACGAATAAATTAAAATTTAAAAAAGTACATACCCTTCCTCTAGATGTAATATCTTCTCCATAATTGTAATTAGTTCCTATCGCTATATAACCTCTTAAACCGGATCTGTGAAAAATAACATAAATTACTATATCTTGCCTGTGACATCGTCCGCAGAATTAAAAATAAGTAACCTATTCCGAACTATATATATGATCCTTGTAGCAATTTAGGCTACAAACTCTAACAAACATATATCCTAAGTAAGGAGATGGTTGATTTCATATAGCTACATATTTTCACGCTATTAATTTTAGGAGGTAAATTAATGAGAAAATATACTTTCATGTGGGTAAGGGACCATAAAGTACAAGCTGCCAACATTAAGAAATTAACAAAAAATTATATGGGAAGCTAGAGTATGTATAAAATTCGTAAAAATCGAAAATCACAGGTACATAGCAAAATTCGAACCTAGGACCTAGTCAATAAAGCTGAGCCATCTACGTTCACAGTTACTAAATCAAGACTGTCGCATTTTTAGTAAATAGTGATATCACCTGGTGCCTTCGTATGACAATGCCACGTTTTTGAGGCATGTGACATGCTCCCAGTCGTCCAGCTCGATCTTGGTGTTAGGGATCACCTCCCAGGAGACGGGCGAGAACAGCATCACAGAGAACTTCTCCTGCATCGGGTACGGGAACCTGGAATTTGTGAAAAACAAACTTTATCACATACTAAAACATAATAAATTAGTCTGGAATTATGTTAGAAGCGTAATTAGTATAAAATATACGATTCAGAGTGAGATGGAGGCGTGGCTGACAATGGCAACGCCCACATCATCAAAAAACTTCCCAAAAATATATATTTCTCTCTTATTACTCTCTTGTTATCCTTCTTATTAGAGTACAATATCTGAAATGGTGAAGCAGACGAGGAAATAACCGTTAGACTTCGCATGGGGCGTGGCTTGTAGAGATTCCGCCCACAACACAAAAGAAGCAAATTAAAAAGCCATAACTATCTCCTTTATCATTATATAAAATTTATAGTACAATGTCTAGGACTATCCTAGTAGACGGTGTAATTAGTGTACAGTCTGGGGCGTAGCTTATATTGACTCCGCCCATAAGACCATATAAATCAAAATAAAAAAAGCAATACCTATCTCCTTTATTATTATTCGCCTTCTTCT